GAAGGGCCAACCTCAGGGGGGTCCGAGACGCACCCACTCGGCCCGCCAGGGCCCCGCAGCCCAGCAGGGGCCGAAGTCGAGGACGGCGCAGGCGAAACACCCTCCAGGCCCCAGAGGGCCGCCGCCTCCGCGACCCTACAAAGAGCCCCCCTAAGCCTAGCAGCACCTTTCGGAGTCACCGCGTAAGCGGAACAACGATCACAACTATACTTCCTGCCTCTGAGCCGCACACGATGCAGGAGCTGGGGCGGGCACGCCTGCTCACCTGCGGGCGCACCCGCACCACGGCGCGCCCTCACGGCGCTGCCTCCACCAGCGCCTGCCGCCTCGAGCTGCGCCCAGCGCCCGCGCAGCTCCCTGTCCCGCCGCCGTGGGGCGTCCACACGATCGGGGGCCACAGTGCCGTCGAAAATCATCCTGGAGGCGTTCGCAATCCATGTCGCGACTGACCTGAGCGTAGCCAGCGAGTCGGTGTACCTCTCGACCACACACAGAGGAAGGTCGTGCACCTGCCGACCCCTCTTCGCCGCTTGGTCAGCCAGATCATTGCAGCGGCGATGCCAGGAGTCCTCGCACGAGTGGCCCTTGACGTAAGAGAAACGAATCGGCACTTCCAGGTCACCAGGAACGGAAAAAACCACCGTGATCCTCAAGCTGGTGAAAAAGGCGACGCCACAGATCAGCGTTCTCACGCCTCGGGTTGAGGCACCAGCGCTTGCCGCGCGCCAATCCCTCGAGCAGCGGCAGGTAATCCGTGAAGATGTGGAGCGGAGCCACGCCGACGGACAGCACCTGAATCACAGCGAAAAGCTCGCCACGGGCGGATGTCTGGCGATGGCCAGGAAGCGGCCCAAAGACTGCACCGTAGTAGCGAGAATCCCCCACAACCACGAATCCCCAGCCCGCACGACCAGCGTCGTCCCAGTGAAGCAGCTTCTTGCACGATCCGTCAGTGAACACCGAGCCTGTGACGACAAAGTGCCCTTCAGACCGAGCTCCACGATCATAGCACCAAAATGCCAGTGTCGTTCCTGGGCGGCAACGCAGGCAGAAAGGAGTTGGGGTACAACCCACGAGCGTAGAGCAAGTCCCCAGGTGGTGCCCTCCTTGCTGCATCCAGGGTGGCTTCAGAAACCGCAAACTCACGAACGTCATCAAACACGTGGCACCCCCAATACCTGTGGTGAGCCGTACCGTCGACACCAGGGCAGTTCCTGCAGTCAGGGGAATGAGCATAAGCGTGACGATGCAATCGCTTCTGCGTGAAATGGCCTCCCACGACCGCGGTGCGCAGCGCAACCCGAGCGAGCGGATCCAGTACCCAGCGCTTGGCCTTGGGGCCCGTACGAAGCAGCGCCCGTATGGGCCCCAACCACGCTCCAGCAGGGTCCTTGTGAGACGGGCCCTCCACCTCTGGCATCACCTCTGGCCTGGCAGCCCACTGGTACCAGCCCACCACCTCAAAGTCCTTGAGCGCCAGCCATTTGACACCTGACGGGGCCACCTCCCGTAAGTCCAAAATAACGCCAGCACGAGTGCGCACACAAAATGCTGAGGAAACCGTCCAGCCCAAGTACGTAACAGACCGCGCAAAGGCACCCGCGGGGCCCGCCACCAGCTTCCAGCTCACACGCAAATCCACAGAGGCCACCTTCCAGAACTGAGAGCGCCATGCCGTCTGCAACGTGGAGTGATCAACTTCACCCGACTGAATCATTAAAGCCCAGTTGAACACAGGTCCAACAATGGCCATCATCGCAGGTTGAAACTCAAAGCCATCCTCCAACCTAGATGCGATCCAGTGCGAGGCCCCCGAGGGAATGACATTCCAGCCCAGCTTCGCCAGGGATGTCATACGCTTGACAAGGTGCGGTCCTGTTCCCACAATGCCCAAACCGTAGGTGATAGCAGGGCCGACTGCAGCCTTGGGAACCTGCCTGAACTTTGCCCCGAGTTGGCTCAGCCTCCTGAAGTGCCTGGCCCGCTTCGAGACACGCCCGACCCGACCCCGAAGCACACGAGCACGAACACTCTTGCCAGCAGCCACCTCCAGGCCCAGGACCTCCAACCAGGACCTGGCCTGGAAACCGTATCTCCTCAGGAGCCGAGCCACGGCGGGGGCGGTAGAGCCGTCAGACGCTGTGAGGAACGCCTTTGACTTCGCCACGGGAAGGCCAAGGTCCTGCAGGGCGTCGCAGAGCAATGCCACAGCGTCGGTGGCGATCCTGCGCAACTCCGTCCGCATGGCCACCACCTGGAGGGTGAGGTCGCCCGCGAAAACGTCCAAAGAAAAGGAGAAACCCACCTGCGCAGGGATGCCGAGCCCCACCGTGCAGACGAAGTCATCCAGCGACGCGAGCATCAGCAGCTGCACCATGGCCATCGCGAACTTGCAGACAGGCAGAACTCCCTGAGACACCGTAACCGCATGCGACGTAGCCTGCTGCCACACCAACCTGCGAGGCGCACGGTACATCACCAAGGCACATGAAATCAACTGCCGCGGAGACCCGTGCTTGGCCGCCGCATACACCAGCCTCCTCCAACAGATGCGGTCGAAGCACTTCTCGGTATCAACAATGGCCGTGACGACGCCCTCCTCG